TTTATCTTTACAAAAAAAGTTTTAAGATAGCATGGGGATCCGTGAAAGAACGTGGAAATACTGCAAGGCGTTACTCAAAGGCATATTTAGATTATCGGAAAACCTATTCCGTAATTTAAAGATAAAAAAAAATTTTTTTTTGCATCAAATCAGATCTTTTGAGATAATTTTAAACAAACTAATGACATAATATCTACGTAACATAACAAAACAAAATAAATACAAAAAAAAAAAAAAAACAGTAAAATTATTACTATTATTCTTTGTTAAAATTTTGAGACATGAAAGCCAAAATAAGAACACTACCGGTTTATTATGATGAATACTTTAATCCGTATAATTTTTAGTATTTATTTATTTTACTATACAAAAGTAATCATAGTTATCCAATTTAGACGAACCATGATCATACTGAAGCAAAAGGAGACACACTTTATAAAATATTAACATAGCATACAAGTACGTAAGCATAAAATTTGAATGATAAGATTTGGAGAAGTATGGTTATACATAAAACAAATAAGCACTTTTTCGGCCGATAAGAAAATATATTGTGCAAATAAAATTTATTTGCAAACTGTTCGCAAGTTTATTTGAATAATTTTTCAAATCAAAAAATTACATTTTTAATATTAAACGAGTTTATTAAATCAAAATTAATTTTAGTCAACAAAAAAAAAAAAAAGTCCCCAAAAAAAAGAATTGTTTAGAATAAATCTATTTTCAAATTAATTGCTTTTTTTGAAACAAAAGAATGGTAAAAGGAAAGGAATGAAGATCATCATCGCGCATTGTAACAAATATTCAGAAATACAGAACCTGAATAAAAGTTTTTCAATGAAATAAAAATTTGTGTTGTGTGTTTGGCGGAAGTTCAGTTTCGCAATTATTGGGGAATTAAAAAAAAAAATAAGAATAATAAAAAAAGGAATTTTTATTGATAAACTTTTTTTTTTTAACATAAAGAGAATTTTCGAACTTAAAAAAAAAAGTTGGAGATGACAACGCGGTCTTTAATCCTTTGGTAGTAGGATCTGCATGTGCAAGGCGTACAAAGCCTCCCATTGTTAAATTCCCTTAATTTGAATGTTACATAAAGCATTACCATTTTTGGACATAGCCTTGACGCGCGTATAATAATTGATAATTGATTATCGTGAATAAAATTAAAAAAAAAAATTCATTTTCTTAATAAAAAATAGATAATTCTTGTTGGTAAAGCTTATGGAATATACTATTCAATTTTTTAATGGTAAGTATCTATATCGATAAAAAGTATTTTAATGTCAATATACAACTTGCTCTTGATATAAGAAAGTTACCAAAGCCTTTCTTGCATCGGACGGAATTTCTTATATCAATGACAGTTTCCTATACCAAGAATTTTCTTATATCGAAGGTTTCTTATAGAATAGTAACTCCATGATCGGCTGTATAAAAGCTATTATTATAAATTTTTTATTTTATAATAATATCAGAATTTGAAAACCCACTGGTTTTCCAAATTAAGATATAGTTCCTGTATCTTATCAGTAGCACCATTAACGCTCGAATGGAATCCAATGTCTGCTGTGTATTCCCGTGGGCCAGCAGCAGGAAAAGCAGAAAAGCAGAAGTATTCCGGGATTGGAAAATTTAAAATCGGGGGAGTAAGTGGCGGCGAAAGGAGTGTAGTAGACGAAGATGATGGTGCTGGGGCCATTTTGGGAATATCAAGCGAGCCCTCTCTCTTATGTGGGTTATAAGCCTTAAATACTTGCCGTTTTTTAGGTCTAAATTTGTAATCTAAAATAGTAATGTGAGGATAAAAGTTAAATTTATTATACTACATTAAGAATTTTAGTATATTATAATTAATATAATAAGAATTGTTTTTTTCTTACTTGGGAACTTTGAGGCGTGCAACTTAAGTGCCTCTTTTGAAAGTTCACAATATTTAGACCGCACGTCTTCGGGGGCTTTTTCCCACACCAAAGACGCCACCTTACATATGTAAGGCATCGTGAAACGTCTTCCCCCGGCTCGAAATGCCTAAATGAACGATAATAATATATATTGGATTACTAAAAACGTTCTTAGATTAAAATATATCTTAAATAAACAAATGCTTAACTTACCAACATAATGGCATTTTTTAATAGAAAAAAACAATTAGGTGGACGGGGTGGGTGCCCAACATTTTTTCGCGCGGAACTTGAACCTGAGGTACGAGTGGATACTAACTGGTCCAAGTTATAAGGTGGGTTGTAAAC